CCTTGGCCCATTGTGACCACTGACCGCCCTGCAAGGCCTACATGGACAAGCAGCTCCAACTACGGGACTGACGACAGAGGAGCTCAAGAGCCGGAAAGCCCATTCATCGGCATCGCCCAGTCCAGCTCCGACCTCTCGCCCTGCAACCGCCATCACTTGCAGCTCGCCCAAGCGAGTCAGGGACCGGCATCATCAGCGCTGGCGGCATCCCGCTCGAATTCCCCACGCACCCCATCCAGGAGACGCTGCGAAGGCCGACGGCCACCCTCGACCGCAACCTGCTGTACCTGGGCCTCGTCGAAATTCTGCACGGCTATCCACTGGACGGTGTAGTGTGAGCTCCGCCCTGGCCCGACGAGACGACGCGCGCGGGGACTCCTGGCGGCTGACTGTTGTTAGTTTGACGACTGGCTGTGACAAGACCACACCTGTAAGTGATGGAGGATTGCCAATCCGGAACCCACGATGCATCACTCGGGTTGAACTAACGATGGTGCCAGGCAATGCTCATGGCTGCTGCGACTGTCAATCTCCCCGCCATCTGCCTCAACGTAGGGCCAATGTGCGCCCCCCCCTGCCCTGCCTATGTAAACCAACCGTGCCTAACCCGTTCCCAGGCTCAATGGCAACCTCCAATCTGAAAAGATCGGCACAGGCACCATCATGTGGAAAGCGCGTGACCTCTACGGCGCTGGCAAGCTCGATGCAGACGGCTACCTCGACATGGTGTGCGCTGGCTCACCGTCGCCAGGTCACTGCAACACCATGGGCACGGCGTCGACCATGAACGCTCTCGCCGAGGCCCTCGGCATGGCCCTGCCCGGCAGTGCCACTATCCCCGCCGTGTATCGCGATCGGTCGCAGGCAGCTTACCGTACAGGTTTGCAGATTGTCGAGATGGTTGAGGCCGACCGACGCCCGTCCGACATAATGACGCGCGAGGCCTTTGAGAATGCCATTGCCGCCAATACGGCCATTGGCGGCAGCACCAACGCGCCCATCCACCTCAACGCCGTTGCCAAGCACATGGGCGTGCCGCTGCACCTCGACGACTGGGACCGCATCGGCTACGAGCTCCCGCTGCTCGTGAATGTTCAGCCGGCGGGCGAGATGCTGTGCGAGGAGTACTACCGAGCTGGTGGCCTGCCAGCCGTGCTGGCCGAGCTCGTGGGCGCTGGCCGGCTGCCACACCCTGGAGCGCTGACATGCAACGGCCGGACCATTGGCGACAATGTTGCGGCTCACGGCCCCTCGTGGGACAGGGCGACGATCAAGGCGTTTGACGCACCGATGAAGAAGAACGCCGGGTTCCTGCACCTCACTGGCAATCTCTTCGACTCTGCCATTATGAAGACATCAGTCATCTCGGCCGGGTTCCGCAAGGAGTTCCTCGAGGACCCCAACGACCCCAACGCATTCGAGAGCAAGGTGGCTGTCTTTGACGGACCCGAGGACTACGAGAAGCGCATCGACATTGCTGATATTGATAAACGAACCATCCTTGTTATGCGCTACGTCGGACCTAAAGGATACCCTGGCGCGGCCGAGGTTGTCAACATGCATGCGCCGCCGAGGTTGCTAAAGCAGGGCATCCAGGACCTGCCATGCATCGGCGACGGACGACAGTCCGGTACCTCGGGCTCGCCGTCGATCCTCAACGCGACACCCGAGGCGGCTGATGGCGGCAATCTGGCACTCCTCCAGGATGGCGACAGGCTGCGTGTCGACCTCAACAAGCGTCGAGTTGATATGCTCATCTCCGATGACGAGCTGAAGGCGCGGCGGGGGGCGCACGAGGCCAAGGGCGGTTATCATGGTCCGCCAAGCCAGACGCCCTGGCAGGACATCTTCCGCCGAGAGTCGGTGGTCTGAGCGAGGGCATGGTGATGAAAGAGTCGATCAAGTTTCAACGAATCGCCCAGACGCAGCCCATCCCGAGGGACAATCACTGAGGACACGATATCTGCGAGGAACGGATTCGGGATTTACTAGACAGGCTGGAGTTTGGGTGGCTAGGAAGGACTGGTCAAAGGTATTATTTTGTACAGGAAAAGGATAGATAGATAGATAGATTTTTAGAACGAAGACCTTCACCGGGATGATGCACGTACAGGGAAGCGTTGGCCGTTGTCATCAGCGGGCGATGCTTGACAGGAGATTGGTGCCCAGCAATGGCGTTGGTCCCATGCGACTCGGAGGCGCGGTGTCAGAGAGAGAGACAGACAGACAGAGACACAGACAGGGTGACGTCACGTGGTGAGGGGAGCTCGGAGCTGGAGGCAGCTACGATGAGACACGGCTGCCCCACCACAGCAGCCAAGAGCTTACGGCATCTTGAAGCTCACGACGCGTGTTCCTAACCTCTGCTTTTGTCTTGTAGCTTGCAATCTCGTGCTTGCGCCATCGTTCGCGTCAACTGAAAGCTTCGGAAGCATCAAAGGGCCCTTCCAACCGCCGCTTGCTCTTTTTAGTCGACCTCGCTGAGCCGAGTCTCCTCTTGCCGACGCTTCCGGCGGCCGGCAGACCACCATCACCATGGCTCCTTCCTCCGTATCACCAGCCTCAACAACGACGAGGCCATCCCTTAGATCCCCTCCGAGAGAAAGCTCCCCGGAGCCTATCATCAACGATAACCCTGCCATCCAGAGCTACTACCAATCCTTCGAATCACGCATCGGCTACCGTCTGCTCCTCGGCGGCACGCGCCACTTCGCCTATTGGGACCACGACACATACTTCCCCTTCCCCCTCGGCCCGCCCCTCCGCCGCATGGAGGACAAGCTGCTCGAGGCCCTCGCGCTGCCTCGCGGCGCCACCGTCCTTGACGCCGGCTGCGGCGTCGGCCACGTCGCGCTGCACATGGCGCTGCGCGGGGGCCTGCGCGTCCAGGCCATCGACATAGTCGACCACCACGTCGCCAAGGCGCGGCGCAACG